TTGCTAGGTATAAAAATGAGTAGTGTTAACTAATAGCTTAAGTGGCATACCTAGTTGTCAGAAATAAGCCCAGTAAACTATGGAATTAATGAAGTATAAATAATGTCAATAGGTGACAAGGAGAACAATTGTACGTTAAAAGGTAAAAATACCACTTTCCAAGCAATTATCAACATTAATTAATTTGGCAGTGAATGCAGAGAATCCTACATAAAATCAAAACAAAACCTTACAATATTTTTTTTAAATCTCAACTTCTAATATGTGGATTTAAAACTTAAGTATACTTAGAATGCAGCATATTAGCCAATAAATTTGAGCTTATCATACAGGACTGTAAAAAAAGAAATTTAATTGCTTTTCACGATGCTTGTAATCAATTTCAGCCTAATTTATGGAAATATGAATTAGAATCATGAGCCAAGAATATATTGAGGATGCTGTGGAATAATATCTAAGGACTTAGTTGTTTCTCAGCCAATCACAGGCATCCTGGCAAATCCTGTTTTGTCAGCTGTCATTCTTTCTTCTCACCCTAGAAATCTGTCCATGACAATTGTTTAAAACCCAATTATCCCCTATCTTAAACCAGAACACAAATGTAATATTTATTAGACCATTACCAGCTTTGACAGAAAATGGTGAGTATAGTTCCCTTGTTTAACAGAAGTTATTACTAACTTCAGAACTGATAAGTAAAATGTTCTTTTTGGTTGGTTATTATTTTGCTTCTTTTCGAAAGTAGAGTTATATTTTGTAAAAAAAAAATTGTTAACTTTCTTGGTTGTATATTTCTTTTTTTCCTTCTTAGGAGCAGTACTCAGTTTTCACTGCTAATTGATTTCAATCTCTATTCCTTCTCTGATCAGAATATTTGCATAAGATGTATAGGGAGGAAACAATTAATGAAGAAGCGGCTTTATCATTTATTTATTTATTTATTTATTTATTAGACTTATATACCGCTTCATAGGGCTTTCAGCCCTCTCTAAGTGGTTTACAATTTTTTTTAGCAAATTGAGTCAACAACTTGCCCCCACAGTCCGGGTCCTCATTTCACCCACCTCGGAAGGATGGAAGGCTGAGTCGACCTTGAGCCGGTGAGATTTGAACCGCTGAACTGCAGATCACAGTCAGCTAAAGTGGCCTACAATACTGCACCCTAACCACTGTGCCACCTCGGCTCTTATCATGAGATTGACAACCGCCCCCCTCTAATTTATTACACCCTACACTCATCAGCCTTGATTCTTTGGATCTTTGCCACCTTATTTGGAAAGATTAGTGGGTTAACTATAACTTCAGAAGACAAACCATGTGCTGTAATATCAAGCTATTGACTGTGAATGAATGGTCCATTCATTCATTCATAATATATGTATTACTCTCACCCATCTTCTCAGCTGCAGAGATGCACTGCAGTGTTGAGCACTGATGAATCTAGAGACCATCTCCCTTTCCTGCCTCTCCACAGTGAACGTAGAATTGTTCTTGTCCTTCAAGCATCCCTCTCCAATATTTTCATCCAATGGACTGTTTGCATATGTGTACAGCCAAAATAGGCAAATACAGGAGTGGGCTTCAAAAATTTCAGCAACGGGTTCTCTGTGTGGCCATTGTGGGCATGGTCGAGACAGCCTCCTGCACCATGGTGGTGGTGGTGGGGGGTGTTTTTGCCTTCCCCCGGCTCCGGAGGCTTTCCTCAAGCCTTTGGGAGGGTGAAAACTGTCTCCCCGGGCTCCCGAGGCCCTCTGGAGGGTGGAAATGGGCCGGTTTCCAGCCTCTGGAACTTCTGGGAGGCCTGCTTTTTCCCACTCCCTGAGCCTGCACACGGGCCCTGCACTTACCTTGCATCCAAAACGGGCTGCATGGCGACTCCTGGGAGGGGTGTGGCAGGATGGAGTGGGCAGGGCCAGCCAGGGGTGGGATTTGGAGATTCTCCAAACCAGCCATAATGTTAATCAAACCAGGGTGAACCTGTACCAGCCCATCCTTGGGCTAATAGCAGTTGCTCATATGCTGAGTAACTCTTACACCTGAAAGGTGTTATGGAAAGGAAAGTGAAGCTTAGATCCCCATAGAAAAAGGAAATGTTCCTATGATGGACAATTGTAGAAATGGGATTATAGAGAGGAAGAACCAGCAAGGCCCTCAATTTAGGAAGAAGGTTGGGAATTTCACAATGGTATAATTCAAACATCTCCAAAGTGAAATGTTTTATGCTCTTCTCCACTGCTATAAGTTGCTTAGCATATGTGATGGTGTTACGCTCTGCTGCTAACATATTTGTCTCTGTACTATCTGGGTTGGCAAGGAAGGACCAGGAACACAGATTTGGAACTTTTCTTCTCTCTGGGAAATATTATAAAACAGGGAAAGGAGACTCAGGCTTGGAGTTGGGATTTCATTTTGAAATCCTTTCTTTTATTCATAAAAACCATTTCCCTTCTATTATAACAAAGACAGATACAAATGGGGCAAACATACATATTGCAAACTTTATTTCATCTACTAACAGAGAGCACAATTATTTGATCACAATGGGCACAAACTGATTTTATTTTCTTATGTCCTCTTTTTTTTTTTTTAATCTCCTATTTTTCTTGTTCCCATTGGGCCCTGGAGTGGTTTTGACAGGATCATTATTTCACCCTATTCTCCATAGAGTAAAATCATGACACAGAGGGAAAGGTTTCACCACCTGGAACCGAATAGATATTGAAAAAGCAAATCCAAAATCCCACCAACATTTTAAGAGTTAACTGTAAGTGACATGCAGAGCTCCCCTTCTGGTTGCAATCCCCAATAATTTATTTTGCAGGTATATTTCCTTTCATTTCCACAAGTCCGAGAAAAAGAATACCCCAAATCCTGAGGAGATATATAATACGCCTTGCAAAAACTTTTGGTTTACAACTGGTGTATTGTAAAAGAAACCACCAACTAGGAAACCTTCTAAGGAGAGTATTAATGTACAATCAAATTTGGGTCACAAATGCATGCCAATGACAAGGAGTGGATGATCTGTCAAGATCAATCTTGCTCAGATTTCTGTTTTTCTAGCTTTCGGTTTCTTCCATCCCATTACACATCATTTGGCAGTTTGTATGTAAAATGTCAACATAACATTTTGCACATCTTTTCATAAACATTTATTCTAAAGACACATTTCTATGCATTTTTCCCCAACATCCTAATATGCCATTCTAATATGCCACCTTTACCAAACTATTAATTTTTGTATGCGGTTTCTGCTCCTGTGTGCCTTTATACTTAGCTCTTGTTGCTGTTTACAACTCCTATTGCAAAATGTAGGAAAGTTTGCAAAATTGTGTTCAGTGCACATGTTAATTTCAGGAAGTTTGTAAATTCACAACAAAATGCAAAACAATTTGTCCCCAGCCCTAATCATGAATTAAACATGTGTAACCAACCAATGATATACATAGTACACAGGAATTACCTCTCACTTGTTCCTTCCAATGATAAAACATTTTGACTAAAACAGAGTTTTTGCAGAAGAAAATATGTAATAATATAAGATGTATTATACATAATGATGTTTTTAAATATATAATAAGTATTATTTATAAGCATTTTGCCTTGGGATTTGTTTTTGTTTTTTTCCAATTTATTGATAATTATTATTAAAGCAATATTTAAAATATTTACTCAAATAAAAAAACACATTGGACTGAATGAATGACTAGGTGGCTCAGCAGCTAAGACACTGAGCTTGTTGATCAGAAAGGTCAGCAGTTTGACAGTTTGAATCCCTAGTACAGGTCTTCTGCATGAGCAGTGGGTTGGACTAGATGACCTTCAAGGTCCCTTCCAACTCTGTTAGTATTTACAATTCTCAGTACTTATTAAAACAACAAATGAGAGATATCACTGCTAGAGAAGTCTCATGAACAGCAGATTCTGAAAGTAAGCCTTCCTACTTAGAAAACCATATTTTTTTTGTTCTACCCAAATGTAGGCAGTTTTAATTCCGTTTTAATTCAACATTCCCAGAGTGGGCAACTCTGTTTGAAAGGTCCCCATATGGTCTTCTAGCATCATTTTGTTGTGTACTTTGGCATCCCAGAGTAAGTGTAACATACACAAGTTTAAAAAGTAAGGAAATACTCAAATAGCCTAAAAGAAAGAAAGATAAAATCCTTGCCCCAGGAAATCATGCCAAAATCCCAGTTCAATCTATTCCTCACTCCATCAACTCTAGCCTTTTCCTCACTTGTTGAATGCAACTTCCTATCCACCAAAATATTCCTCACTGTAATTACGTAAAACTAATTTAATAATTTATGTAGTATCATGCTAAGCTCGTTTGCTAAAAATTCCTGGTTTTCTGTGACTAATTAACATGCTTTGCTCACTTTTCTTCTTGCTAGGTGGCAAGGTCTATGGTTTATAACTGTTTCCTAACTCTGACTTGTTACAAGATGAACAATCCAGAGATCCTAGCTTCCTAAATAATCAGCGAATAAACTTCTATGGTTTATGTAATCAGTTCCCTGGGAGGAATGATTGAGTTCATTCATAGGCAGGCACAATCAACAATTAATATTTTCTTTGACGGAGTAAGCTTTGTGGCAACCTTACTAAATATATTATGTGAAGTGTGGCCTTCTATCACTTATTGGCTGGAGTCACACAACACACTACACCACATGAAAGCGAGAAACTTAGCAGCCTGTGGTTCATGGTGTTATAGAAACCAAGCCATCACATTAAACTGTAATATGTGTTTTTATTCACCAATATTGTCTTTCTTATGTGAACCCATAGATTACAGTCCCAGTGTTTACATTTTATGCAATTATCTCTTTAAAAAAAAAGGCAATGTTTTCCACTCTGGAGAATGTTTTAAACAAAATAAAAATAAGCTTTCAGTAGATTTTTTTCCCTTAAAATCAACCAATCCACGGATTTACCTAGGATAGTTATGGGTGACCAAAACTCCTAGATCTTTGATCTTTCACAGCCAAATGACTCACCTGTCCAAGCATATCTGGTGCTATAGGAATGACAGGCCAGATAGTAGAGTAAACACCGAAGAAGACGAGCCAGAGCAGCATGCTTCCCCAGACAGCCAAGTGACTGAACTGTAGGAGAAAAGAAACACACCCATCAAGATTGCACGAGTCTTTCTTCTCCCTTGCCAGCCTCATTGGGCCCCTCAGTTATTATTTTCCTTTCTATGTTAGAATATTTTATTTTCATTTCCATGACATATAATCACATGTATATCATTACATTGACAATATCATGTTATAAAAGAAGACAATATACATGTGAACTCATACTACTTTAAAATCAAACCTGGAATAATTCCCTCCCCCACCCTCCCCCCCGAACCCCCAAAACCTACCCCCCCCGACTTCCCAGAACCCGTACACGGTATGGATATTTAACAACCACAGTCTAAGATATATTGATAAAAAATAAAAGTAAGAAATTAATAACCTCTTTACATTGAACTTAGCTCCTCCTTGCTAAATTAACTTTAAACAGTTCAAATCATTCCTAATCTTAAGCATAGGCTATCTGGAATTTCTTAGTTCCATATTTATTTTGTATATAATCGATCCATTTTTTCCAGTCTCGTTTGTATCTCTCATTTGAATGGTCTTTAAGATATGCAGATATTTTCGCCATCTCAGCTAAATTTGTGACTTTCAGTGTCCATTCTTGGATTGTAGGCAAATCTTCCTTCTTCCAGTATTGCGCAACCAACAGTCTCGCTGCCGTTAAGTTATTATTTTCCTTTGAGTCCTTTTCTCCCCCACCAAAGGTTTGGCCAACCTCACTCAAGACCGACACTTGATTTTATGCCAGCAAAAAGATCGGTGAAACCTCTGAGAAAATTCCCATGTTGAAACTTTCATGTTTTCTAGGCCAGCATGTTGCTGTCTGCTGTCCCCTCCCCCGACTAAAAAACTATTCTTAGTGTGCATTCTCATGTGAAATAGAATAGAATAGAATAACAGAGTTGGAAGAGACTTTGGAGGTCTTCTAGTCCAACCCCCTGACTAGGCAGGATACCCTATACCGTTTCAGAGAAATGGTTATCCAACTTCTTTTTTACAATATAATACAATAGAAGAGTTGGAAGGGACCTTGGAGGTCTTCTAGTCCAACGCACCGCCTAGGCAGGAAACCTCATACCAGTTCGGACAAATGGTTATCCAATATCTTCTTAAAAACTTCCAGTATTGGGGAATTCACAACTTCTGGAGGCAAGCTGTTCCACTGATTAATTGTTCTAACTGTCAGGAAATTTCTCCTCAGGTCTAAGTTGCTTCTCTCCTTGATTACCGTATTTTTCAGAGTATAAGATGCACCGGAATATAAGACGCACCAAGGTTTTGAAGAGGCAAATTAAAAAAAAGTTTTTTGCGCTTTGCAAACCTCCCCAAAATGGCCCATTTTTTTGCTAAAACGGGTCCACCCACCCCAAAAAGGCATGTCTAGCCTTTTAGAAGGCTTGCAGAGTGCTCCTAGGAGGTGCTCCCTCCCAACAAGCAAAATTGGCTGGTTTTTTTTACTAAAACAGCCCGTTTTTTTGTCAAAAAAAATTACATGCATAGCTTTTAGGAGGCTTATATAGTACTCCGGGGGGGGGGACAAATTGAGCAAAAAATGGCCCATTTTTCACTTATTTCTGCCTTCCCCAGCCCCAGGAACTCTCTGAAAGCCTTTTACAGGCTCTGCACAGCCATTTTGGTGAAGGGGGCAGGGTTTCAGGAGGCAAAAAAATGCTGTATTCAGTGTATAAGACGCACCCAGATTTTCAGCCTCTTTTTTGAGGGAAAAAGTTGCATCTTATGCTCCGAAAAATATGGTAGTTTCCACCCATTGCTTCTTGTCCTACCCTCAGGTGCTTTGGAGAAAAGCCTGACTCCCTCTTCTTGGTGGCAACCCCTGAGACATTGGAACACTGCTATCATGTTTCCCCTAGTCGTTCTTTTCATTAAACTAGAAATACCCAGTTCCTGCAATCGTTCTTCACAGGTTTATGAAGAACGATTTATGAAGAACGATTCTCCGCGATGTTTCAAATGCACTAATTCAAAAGATATTTTTTTTGGTCCTAACAGTGCTTATAATATTTTTAAAAATCCTCTGGTTTATCCAGAAATGTGAAATCTCTAGTCAGTCAGAACTTAATCCTAGGAAAATGAATGTAACGCTGCAGTCTTTTCACGATTAACAGGCTTTCTACAAGACATCCACCCGAAACATCTATTCTCTTATATTAAAAGGCATATTGTTTCCACGAGCTTAGTTTAAATATCTACCTAGGCATCTCTAGACTTCTCTTGCGTTGTTCCTCACATTCATTTGTGGGAAGAATCTTACTTTTGGAAATGTCAAGTATACCTGACATGAGTATTTGAAATGGGAGTGGGCAACACTGTACATATATGTGTTTATGTATATGTGAGGGGTTATATATTAGTTGATGGTTATCACATCTTGATGAACAGAGAGAAAGGCAAAGTGAGTGAGGCCACTCCCCTTCCTTACATTTCCCCCTCTTGTTCTAGCACTATCTTCAGCACCCTGCCTTTCTCCTGAGCTAGGAAGGAAAAATTGCATTTGGTAGAAGATTGGAGAAAGATGGTCAATTTCAATTCTGTGAGAGAAAGAAAGAAAAAAAGGAAGGAAAGAAGGGAAAGAAGGAAGGAAAGAGAGAAAAAGAAAGAAAGGAAGGAAGGAAGAAAAAAGAAAGGAAGGAAGGAAGAAAAAAGAAAGAAAGAGGGAGGGAGGGAGGCAGAGGTTGGTTCCTACCAGTTTGGACTGGTTTGGCTGAACCAGTAGTGGTTTGCTGGCCTGGGATGGTGGAACCGGCAGTGGCCCAGGCCTGCCACACTTCCAAACCAATCAGTGTGGCATGGTTTTTTTCCCATTTTTTAATGTTCTGCGCATGCACAAACTTGTTTATGGACAACTGCACATGTGCACAGAGTGTGTGTCTGGTGCATGTATGAATGGAGTGCACGTGCGCAAAACTGCGTGTGCACCGAACCAGCAGTAATGCCGGCAGCAACCCACCCCTGGAGAGAAGGTAGGAAGGAATAGCTGTAAACTAGCTACCTATCCTTGATTGTTTGTTTGTTTGTTTAGGATTATATATAATGAAGTCACTGATTGCCTTGCAAAACCCTAGCCAGGAACAGGATTTAAAATAATACATCAAAACAAGAAATTTAAAAAAAAGAAGGAAAGCAAATAAGCACATATCACGCTTCAAATTGGGGAGAGTATTGCAAACAACAGTGGAGTCCTGGCACTGAGGCAACATAAAACCCATTGCTGATTGCATATCACTATCAACATCATCATCATCATCGTCATCATCATGTGTTTGCAATCCATCTTTATGCCAAAGTTACTTTACGCTTGAATGAGATAATTTCAGCTCAGGAAATGTCAATAGTAAATTGTGGAAAATGTCAAGGTTGCACACCAGAAAGGACAAGAACTAATTGGCTGATAATTCTTGGTGTGTTTTAGACATGCAAACATACTAGCATGTCTGTATTCATAGTTTCTTTAATGCAAATTAGATCTCCAAAGTGTCAAAAATGCCTGGCTCAATCTTGGGAGTATTTTAAAATGGAAGGATGTGAGACAGACTAATGTGGGAGACCTCCAAAGCTTGCCAGATTCCTTAGAACTGCTGAGGAGGTCCACTACAGACCTCCACATAGCACTTAATGTAGCCTTGTATTTTCCCCTCAAATCCATTATATGGATTGAAGGAAGTTAATTTATGCAGTGAAGAAAATGTGCTTGCTCAATACAAAGGCAACTGCTGAGAAGCAGGAGAAAGAAAACAGAAATATGAAAGAATATGAATATGAGAAGTAAAACTCGGAACAGACTAAATGTAAAGACTAGCAGGGACTATACTGCAGATTAGATGAACAGTATGAAATTTAAATGATAAATATAAAAAGTTGTGGATTTATAGATAGGTAGAAAATTACTCTAAAATAACAAATCAAAGTAAAGTAGCAGAATACATCTGAGACTGTCTCTTTATGTCCCTTAAGTGATTATGGCAAAAAAAAATGTTTCATGTATTATGATTGCTAATGAATTTCATAATAAATTAGCTTTACTTTATAGGGATTTTTTCCCCGCCATTTCTTATAATTCCTGTAAACCACCAGAGGAATAGCTACTATACAGTGACCAATATCTTGAATGCACAAAGCAAATTAATTCCTAAACATGTTTTTGAATTTTGGACCTTTTCCGGCAATCTTCTCTTCAAACTAAATCTAACAATGGAAAAACGCTAAAACTTAAACAAAGCCCATCATCAAACAAATGACATTTTCACAGGCAACTTTTAATTCTGCAAATTCTGACAATGCGATTGAAAATTTAGGGTTCTCTAGAAGTTTTAAGCAACTCCAACGTTCCCTGGTAGTTGACATGCTGATGGAAACTTTGGGGAATTATAGTCCAATACCTATGAACAGTTTCAGACTAGCAATTATATTTTTGTGTGAAGATCTTTTGTTTTCCAATACTGGTCACACCATAGTATAAAGTACGACTCAATTAGCCAGGCAGCTGGAATGCTGGCATGGATGCTTGTGAGTAAATTGTGAGTAGGAGAGAATGAATGAACAAGTGAGCCAACTCTTCTCAGGTTTCTGGGAAAAATCAGGAGCTGTGCTGAGTCTTCTTGAGGAAATGGGGATGGGAAGCATTTCTGCTTAGCTGCAGCTGCTTTTCTCAAGTACAGGCAGCAATCCCAGTTTTATTTCCTCAGAATATGAACCAATGAGCTTCTAGAATATTAGGCTAAGGTCCAATTAATTGATGTTTTGCCAAGAACTGTGGGAAGCCATCTTCAGAGTTGAACGTGGTCTACTTTGTAGCACATTTCTTGGCAACTCACAAGCAACTGAGCGGGAACTAATGAGCTCTTAGAACTAATCTTTAATTGGAGCAGATCATTGGAATTCATGAAACTAATTTTTGATTGGTTGTCCATTCAAGTAAATTTCTAATTGCTATGATTTAAAGAAGTTCCAAAGGAGCTAATTTTTGTATTGGTCTCTCTTTCAAAGACACTGCTGAT